TGCGGGCGAATTTCGCGGATATTTATTTACGGGGAGTGCGTGACAGAAGTATGCGAAGTGGAACGGAATTGGCGCGTTGTTATGTTGCTGTTTCTATTTTCTTCATTAAATGAAGAAATTTTCTGGTCGTCAAGCTGTTTTTCTTCGTTCGATTCACCTAATGAACTTGGATCTATATTTGCCAGCCATTCTGACTCTTGGTCGTCGGAAATATGATTCAAATTGTCACCCATTTGTTTTTTTTTTTCGTAACTACAATCCAATTCTTCACTTGCGCGATGCGAGAAAACCTGTTTAACCGGTAGTCTACAATAGACAAGTACAAATGCCGCGTGATATTTGTATTCGTCTATGGCATTATTTGTACTCATCTAGGTGTAGTTGGATAATAAAAGACATTATTTTAGATACTGAGAAAGAATCCAGCAGTCTATCACAATTTTCCAAGGGTTTTTACCAGTACATCTTTTTATTTTTTCCAGTTGGAGGGGCTTTTCCCCCTTTCCCCAAAGAAGGTTTCTGTGAGTCAAGATGATATTTCCTGCTATACATGTACCTTTTAGCCTTTACTACAATCATGTAACTGTGGGGGGATTGTGTGAAGGAATCAGTTGTGATTTTCTCATGATCAAACCTATTGATATATTGACAAAGTCTTTCTGTAATTTATGTTGCCCTTACCTGCTACTGTACGTGATTGTTTCGCAAAACCAATTCTAATTTTCTCTTGATTGAAGCAGATGTAGATGCAAGCCTTGAGTTTTGAGGAAAAAATTCAAGTCTGCTTTCTAGGTGTTCAGTTTATTTGTGATTTCATTGCTTACCTCATTCTTTTCACCTCCCAAGTCTCTTCCCTTCTGTCTTCCTCCCATTTTTTCCTCTGCCATTTCCTTCTTCTTTCTTCATGCAGTTCATATTTCCCTCACTGTCTACCTTTATTCTAACTCATCAACATGTTACAGGTGTCTGTAGTTTTTGACTATAAAATTTTAAGATTTTAATCTTTTTTTTAACATTTCAGCCAACGAGGACACAGTGGCAGAAAGTATTCTATATAACTGCTGGCATTTTTGTTGTTGGCTGGATTGTTTTTCTACTTTTGGGAAGTGGCAAGCAGCAACCATGGAACACTCCATTTGAGGACTTGTTGGTGCCCATTGACATTCCCAGGGAGCCAAGAAAACCTGTCTTAACTGATATTCTTTCAGTCAGCAATCCAGAATCTCCCTCATCTCCTGGAGTGGAATAATTATGTTTTTCTGCCTGCTCTTCACACGCTTATCTGAGGAGAATACCTTCTATATTTTTTTAGAGTTTAGGTTAGGTGCTCAATCTTCCCATAGTCTTTTTTTTGGGGGGGGGGGTGTGGGGGAGTGGGTAAAGTTACACATGGTGATAGAATGAATCTGGGAGTGATTCAATCGCTCAGATTGTTTGACATAATCAGAATATCACTAATTATTGTGTACAGTTTGTTCTAAACACAAAACCAAAATTTTAAAGAGTGTAATGATATTAAACAAATGTCAAATTTTAATTGTACATCTTTCTTTTTTTAACTTTTGGTTGTCAGTGTAAAAATTGTAGGATGCTGAATAATTTTGACATGGTGATAAATGATGGTTTTTTTAATGACACAAAATTTATTATTAATAACTAAGGATGACAATTTTTTGGAAAGGGTTCAATTATACTATAAATATAATATTTGCAACATCAGTGTATGTCAGTACAAATAAAATTCTATGGACATCTCAAACCCTGATCTTTTAATGGTTCAATATCTTTGACTGCAAATAATGATTCTTAAAATTTTACTCCTTCCTTGCTTTAAGGGAAATTCGTTCTGAATCATACAGGATTTGCACTCAGGAATGTGTTTCTGGCTCAGAAATGCAATGACCCCCTTTAATGTTTTCGCCTGACGTAGGTAACTTTCGGTTGTATTTCCTTTCCGGGGGGGGGGATATTTGTCACTGTATGTGTTGTATGTGTTATGGACATTAGCCAGAAGGCTCATTTTTTGATTGATTATTGATTAGTTCATTAATTTCAGAATGATCTTAGATAGCCACATAGTTACAATGCTTATCTGTTTTTCTGTATTTCTACTGGTTTTGTAATCGGACCTTTCAGCGTCACCACGCGCATATAAAAGGKAAGTTTAGCGTCCCTTTAATCAGTTCTTCGTAAGTTTTGAATAGTCTTGGTAAACTTTCGCCCTTTTGTTTTCTCAACCTCTGGCACAAGCGGGACCGATATTTTATGATCGATCGTTCGATAGATTGATTGACTGTGAGAATAATCGTTATTTTATTAGTCCCAAACACCTCGTTAACCGCGTTTTGGAGCGACACGCCCTTAAACTTGAGAATTTAGATTTCGGTCGCCGTAAACGCTACAGTATGAGTATGTGAAAAGTGAATCATTAAAAAAGGCCCATCCTGACAAAGCTCTTATACTGCAACCATAAGAAATTAATTTGTGCAATGATGATGTAATCGAAGAAGAGAGAGCGGCCTACTGGACCGCACAACTATGTACACTCAGTTCCCACGGACTTAACAAAAGACGCGAATTCAGATCCAAAAATCGCGTCCGCTATAATACTTAATTAGGGCATCATTTACACAATGTAATTGAGTTCTTCGCAACCATTCATGGTTATTTCGCCTATTGCACATTCTTGCCTTTTACCCATTATTATATCCAATTATTTAGGTTTGGAATGCATTGCGCAATACTATTTTTATTTCTTACGTTTAGTATAAATTCAGGTCATTCTGTAAACCTACTAGGATTTTTAGTTTTTAATTTCTATGTAAATACGTTCCACCTGAAGAAGGCCGAAGGCCGAAACGTCGCCACATTAAAGCTGGAACAGTTAGAAGTTTGCTTCATGTTTCATCGCTTTACACTTGTATATATATATATATCCAACGAAGACAATGTTTACCCCATTCAACCTTTGATCTGAAAGCGTATTACCAAAGCGCTTAATTAGTGAGAACTATCCGTAATGCAAGCATATCGCCCGAAATCTTGAGTTATATCGCCCCATCATTTTTAATCACATTTAAAAACATAAAAAATGGCAAATCGTTAGAGAGAGCTATAGAAACTAATTGATTGAACAACCATTTTGGTGTATTTACCGAACCTTCAGTGACGAAGTACCCTATCAGTTTAGACGTTTCGTATCCCTTAACGGAAACGGCTGCACCTAAACCTTGACAACCATCTTTTATATTATCAAAATTCAGAAATTATATATTAGCAATACATCAATTGATAGAGATTATCAACTACCTGATATCAATTGAAATCGAGCAATCAATAATCAATCAACAGATCCCCAAGTACTCCTGATCGACAGCTATCGTTTGGTAAACTGTTTCATACCAAGCAGAACTTGCGCAGGTACAACTGTATCGGTATTTAACACTTGCGGAACAGTGACAACGAATTTTGCCTTTACTTTTCTTTTCGTCATGTTGAGCACAACTCGCCAAGAAAAAACTTTACTTATGAAAAACCGTTTTTCCTGTTAGCTATAGACTGAGAATTGAATTGGAGTGGAAGCCAGTCGATTTAACTCACTGGTCACACAAATCATAGTGCTTGATTTTTTTTTTTCATCATTTATCAATAATGATTTGAACTCATCCTGTCCACTTTATCGATTGGTTACACCGCTTGTTATTAAGTTGTCACGTAAGACTTCAAAAGACCTGCACCTGCAAAGCTAAGCCTAAAAACTGGTTCTCCTTCCAAAGAGAACAAATGAAAACGCGTCCGGTGTAGTCCATTACTTATATGTACACTAGCTGGTAAGTCTAAATCAGAACTTAATGAGATATTCGGGATAGCACTGGCTGTCAGCAAAGACGACGAAAGATCCTGGATTTCCTGTGTTGTCTACAACAGAATCATACAAAATTTCCGGCCGTGACGGATGCTTTGAGGGAGGCACAACTAAATGTGAATCTCCTTGACAATACCTTCCAATCAGGACACGCGCAAGGTACATGTATCGACTATGATCAGTACTCTGAGGGGTGAACTGCAGGGAATAACGGGCATCTCTGGCAAAATAAACTCCCTTACCCAGGCGATTTCCTGCAAGCAAGGAAAGATGAACTGATCGTAACAGTGATGAATGAAGTGAAATTCAGATCTAGAGAGTGGGAAGAAAAGAGTGAACTTATTTATCATTCATATCCCTAAAGCTGGTAGATGGACATCTCAAGGGGGCGTGGGAGGGGTTCGAGTGTATCAAAAATAATGCGGCTGGCTTCACAGAGAATTCGACGGAAATGATCTCAACTGCATTTTGCTTCGATCTCCAGGGCTCAGAGAGTAAGTCTCTGTTAATATTTGTCAAGTGAAAGGTCCGCTTGGCAAAGGAGTAAAGTACCATAAACAGGGAAAGCCCGCATGTAGTATCTTGAACGTTTAACGTGTGTGTGGTATTGTTTTCTTCAGGCTTCCTCAACAAAGGGGGAAGGCACATAAATCAAACAGGTCAACTCGTCGTTGACCCAATAACTCAAGATCAAGTGGGTAAGAATTTGAATCCTGCGTCAGGCCAGACGAGACTAGCCATTAAACTACTTATATTCACTCACCATGCGCCAATCCTGAGAAGTTCCTGTTAAATCCTTGAGAATTAATTTTCTTCACGTTTTTATAGGCCGTTCCATGAAACAGTTGTCGCTCATTGTTGCCTCCGTTGTCTTTGTCCATTTTTTGTTTCCTCAGCTGATACGCCTGGTAAAGCAGGGGATTTTGAATTCGCTCCACTCTCTTCACGTTTACTGAGTTCACGGTCTTTGTAAACATCCTTACAACACTCTGGAACTCGGAAGACTGGGGTCGAAGTTTTACTGTATGGACGGTAATTTCATTTCCGTTTGCCTCTCTTGGCATAGCTTCCCAATGACTTGGCAGTGATATTCCTGTAGCTTAAATTGGCGCATATGGCAAAAATGGATAAAAATTTCGATCAATAAATTTTGAATGAAGGGTAAACCTATGTACATTGAAATAATTATGAACTTGTCTACCCTTGAATGAAATACAGTACTCGCATACCGTGTTCCATGACAATTCTGCGCGTTTTTAATTTTTGCGAATTTTGCGTATTGTCGTCATGAAAAATTATCGCAAATTAAATTATCATCCCCAAAATGAAACTTACGAAAGGGAAAGTGGAAAAAATAGCTATCACTTATTTTGCCCATCTGCATATAAAAAATACAGATATTTTGCAAAAGACGTTTTCGGCTGAAGAACTTCTTCAACCCTTACCTTCACTTCTGCCCAGGACCTTACGGCTGATTTTGATCTGCTCTCCTGATAAGCTACCTATTCCTGTGTTGTCTTTAAAATACAGTTGAAATTGATCTCCACAAATTCCAACAGTCACATCTGGAGACTTCTTAGTGTATGCTTCTTCGATCTTCGCGTTTTTAGTCGAACTAAAACGTCTCATTTTACCATATAACATGTATTGCCATTCCACGTGACCAGCCAACAATTTTGCATTTTCGCGGTTTGTTACTTTTTTGCATCTTTCATTCAGCTCAACCCAGATTTCCCCGACAATTGCAGTAACATCATTTGGGTCTCCCTGAACTTCAACTCGATTTCCGGCAGGCTCTATTTTCAGTTCAATGTCTCGTTTTTTGCAGCTTTGCAGCAGACGATTAACTTGCCTGTCAGACTGTTGACTCACAGATTCATCGTGAATGACTTGCGTCGTACAACATTCAGAGAAACCTTCCTTCAAAGCTGCTAAAGCTGCTATTGCAGTCTTATCATCTGCAGCAGTCACTGAGATATGGACGGTAGAAGCGCTTTTACACGACACTGATTTAGGTGATTTCTTCCTCACTGAAAACTCCCACGGTGGGTATGATGTTTTTGTTGATGTCGTCGTTGCTTGTGAGCTAGATGTTAACAACTGCTCAGCCGAATGAACGACCCGTTTGTGCTCTTTAACAAAGGTCTCCAGCATTTCTTTTACAAAAATTACAATTTTGACTTTGGAAAAGCTTGAGCAAGTTCCACTGACGTTTCCCAAAGCTTGAAAGGTCAGAATTGCTGAATCAGAAGGAGTCACGTGATATGCGCCTGTTCCAATAGCTGGAATAGCTATGGAATGAAGACCTTGCGAATGAGCAAGATAGAGACACTTTTCAAGGCAGGCTTGGAGGTGCTGTTTATCTGAAGACTTTGGTACCAAGTGAATAATATTACTTACAGGCAAGTTCCCGCCACTGGTCATCACAGCCGATCCACCTGGTTGCGGTCCAAGCTCCTCGCACTCTTGTATCACGCGCTTTCCAGCTGCTCTGGCCACTGCCTTACTCAGTGCCCCAGCTCTGGACAAGTCCATGTCTTTTCCAATGATGTTTATAATGGCGTCCACTCTCTGTTCTGTAAGACTGCCCTCAACAACCTGGATCTTCCTCCACCATGTTTGAGTTTCAACAGTGCTTCCTGGCTTAGCAAAACTTCCACGTCTTAATTGCAAGCTGTTCATCTCCTGTTGAAAGGCGGTAATGAGATTTTGATCCTGGTCAAAGATGACGAAGCGAATGTCCTTTACAATAGAATGTGGGTTGTTGTCGCAGAAACTGACTGCTTCGTCCAACATGATCCTCGCAGCTTCGCTTCTAGGGAATTGTAAATTCCCAGTTCCAATCACAGGGAAAGCGATGGAAGTTCCATTGAGCTCATTGGATTTGCCGAGCGATTTTCGAACGATGGATCTTAATGCCTAGGTGTGACAGAATAAAACGGTCAAAATGAGCAGGATAAGTAAGTAAGACAGGAAGACATAAAGTTCATGATTAACCGGCTACAATTAGCAATTATTGGACGAGGTTGAGCATGATGGCGATAATTATCAAGACCAAAGTTTGTGTTATCTGCCAAAGCCGAAGGCTGAGGCGACTAACACAAACTGAGGCTTTGATAATTATAACTATCATGCGAAAACCGAATCCAATAACTGTTTTATAATGCATATTTCTGAGCCGCATTTGTAAAGGCAAGAGTGCATAAAACTATTGTCTGTAGGTATGACGTCACTTCTATTTTCTATTTTCTATTTTTTATAACATCTATTTTCTGTAGGTATGAAGTAAGAGAATGTATGATGATAATAATAATAATAATAATAATAATAATAAATGAATAAAGGAGGTACGTTTCTAAAGAAACTGTGGTGCTGCGTCGGTGGGGGTAACAAGGTCATTTGGTTATATGACGAAGGGCTAACGCTCAAAACGTCAGCTTTTAAACTCTTTACGGCGGTTAATTTACAATTTCAACTTAGTTGATATAACCAAATCACCTCATAATGGTTCGTGTGGTGTCAGCAAACATGCGCACCTCAGCTACGTAAAATGAATAAGTGGGGCAAGTTTCTAAAGATCCTGTGGTGCTGCGTTGGTAGGGGGGTATCACACAATAATTGTTCTTTCTCCAACTGATGCTGAATCAATAAGACCTCGTGCCTTTAAAAGCAGGAAGTAAATATGTTTTAAATACTTGAAAGTGGCTCGAGCTGCCATTAATTTTTTTTTTTCACTGAAAAATGCACCAACCGTTCCTCCACCTCCTTCCCTCCACTCCGAACAGTACGTATGAATCACGTGAGTACAAGGCAACTGGAATCCCGGTGAAACGTCAATCTCTCCAGGGTTGGGTGTCACTGGTCGCATTCTTGGACCGGCAGCACGTCTGATCGAACTCGAGCATGCTCCTTGAGAGCTCACAACTATATCGGCCTGAAAATAAATGTAAAAAGTAAAAGTTTAGGATGATCATAATTGAAATGTATGATGTCCCGTGGGTTGAGCAAACGTATGACACAGCACTAACAATGTGTCAATAGGGGAAACCCTCCACCACTGCGTGGGGTCTGTCTCTTTTCGTCAAGACGGAAATTAGTGAGAAACAGTATTCCGTGAACAACAAATGGCAGATCACAAAGTGTCCAAGTGATCATGCTCAGGCTTGATTAAAATTACACAGAGATGGCATAATGATCTTGCTTAAAGGAACGGCTAAGTATTGAGATTTACCTGTTCTTTGGCAATGTCCCCTGCCTTCCATGAGATGTTATGTCCCTGAGTCGTAATACAAAATGAAGCACTTTTCTGTTGAAGCAAACTTGAAACAGATTTTTCTTCTGTCATCTCTTCATCTTCGCTCTCTGTAGACTCTGATTCAATAAGTGCTGCCTTGCGTGAAAGCCTCCCTGTTTCAATTTTAGCCAAGGTTTTTTCGATACCAACAACACACTTCCGGTCCTTTTCGATCTTTTCCGCAATATTGTCTGCCTTGCCATCGGAAAAGAACTTTCTAAGGCCCGCTTGGCTTAGTTTAAGTTTTTTAGTCACTAATCCCTGAATAAGGTGATCCAGCATGTACCTTGCGGGATTTAAACCGTCCTCTTGCCCCGAAATGATGAAGTTATGACCATCTTGTCCGTCAAGAATCGTGATGTCATATTTCTTAAGTTTCGTTTGTATGGCAATCAAATCACGTTTGCCATATTCTCTTAAATATCTCTTGATTTGCTTCGAGGGGCATAAAAAGTTCTTTTTTGATATTTTCGCGGCTCTCTCTTCGATAAACAATTGCAACTTTTTGGCGGAAAACTCAACATCTCTTGAGAGACCGGCAAGCCATGTTCTGCCAGTTTCATCTCTTCGAATTACAACTGTACCATCCTTTTCGATCTCGTCGCAGACCTGGTCCCATTCAAACGTAGTTGTCAAAACTAAATCTCGTTCTTTGATTTTTAGTGCTGTTTCTGCTGTTAATCTGTTAATGAGATCGGATGCCTTCTCCGCTTTTTCTGATGAGATTCCAAGTATCTTTGCGGCGACGACGCGCGAAGTTGACTCGTCTTCCTCAAGGAAAAACACAGCGTCTACCTCATTTGCAGACAATTCGTCATTTAGTACCTGCGATGCTGTAGCGATGTTAAGCATGTCCAAGACACCACAAGGAAGCTGTAATTTCTTTTCAGTTATTTCAGCGTTCAACTCACAATATCTTGCTATGGCATCTGTCACCTCGTCCTGCGGCCCTACAAGTAATATTTCCTCGTTTTCGTCGTCAATCCAAACTGTCAACTCTTCGAATTCTTGCTGGAGATTGCACTCGAAGTTAGTTTTTCTTAAAAGCTGAACTCGCTCCTTTGACACATCTCTTATCTTTTCTGTCCGATAGTTTCGGTCCCTCTCTGGACAATAGACATACGCTAGTGCTTTCTGGAGTATTTTCTCATAAGAATCTTTATCTGATTTAAGAGAAACCACCCTCAAATAGAGACCAGAGTCTCTTTCAGACAATTTCACAAGAGGACGATCATCTCCCAGAAAATCGTAGATCTCGGTCATAGACCCTGAATTTAGAGCATTCCATATGTCTCCTTCTATGGGAACATGCCACCGTAAAAATTTTCTGAGAAACGCCTGCACTTCTTCAATGCAAAGGGAAGCACTACAATTGTCTTCTGGGTTTCCGTCATACTGAATAAAAGCATGCTTTCTCCCTGCCTTCCAATCTAAATCACATTGTCTCTTTTCTAGTACATCCAGTAAATCTTTCAAGTAAAATGACTCATGGATAAACTCCATTACATCAGGGTCTACAGCCAAACACAACCTTTGCTTGGCTGTCTGACTCGGTTGTTTGGTTGCTAGAAATTTCTCAGAACTATAGTGTCGAGGCGAAGAATCCACTTTTCCCACTGTATCATCTTCATCGAGGTTTTGAAGTAGCGCATGGAAAACTGTCACTGTAAGATACTCACCGTCGACAACATGCGGTCGCTCCTCCTGTTTTGCTAACACACGTTCCATGTCTGTAAGGTAAAGGTTCAGCTTATAAGTACAAAACGGTTTTTCAGCTCGCTCTTGGCAAGCTTGAGTAAGTAGGTTCTTAAAGTCCACTGCACTTTCAGTTTCAAGTAAATCAAGCAATGAACTGATTAAGGAGTTCTGATTGAGAAGAAATTTGATTCTTAGGCACGCCTGTTTCATTCTCACATGTCGATACTCTGAACATTAGCTGCAAGTGACAAATGGCCTGAAAAAGTCATCATAGCCGACATTTCTCTTTAAACCGTTAACACAGAAGCTTAGCCTAGCCAAAGAGTAGCCGATTTTAATGGTTTGAGATCAGTGTCAACTTAAAAAATTGTAAACGGGACAATCATCATCAGTTTTTCGAAATTAATTACCTTTTGCGTTGTTGAAAACAACAACTGCTTGACCTTCCTTTCCAGTTAAACAAACTGTATGTACTGGACCACCCCCACTACGAGGACTTTCGAAATACAACTTCACGAGTTCATGAGAAGTGTCGTAGGATAAACCACTCACTAGTACACTTGTGAGGGGAGAGGCTAGCTTCATTGTGATTTTGTTCCCATCCAACGTTCGTCTCCCACACTTCTCTTTCATCTTTGCGATGTCTGAAAATACATGCAATTATTCAAAACTGATCTCTTGCAACCGCACAAGTGTCATAGTACCAAAATAGGCGATGCTCAAAATTTTAGAAAATCTTAAAATACCCGAGATAAAACTTACTGAGATAACTGAGGTACGACATAGTATCTCGTTACCACGAGAAGACGTAAGTCCAATACGGATTCAACACAATCCGAATGCACTGCACGCAAAACCGTTCAGAGAAAATGATTAAATTGATATTTAAAACTTACAACACAAACCTTCAATTGGGGTTTCCATTGTAACCAAAGCGTTCCCATCTTTCAACAATGTTATTTCTCTAACTTGTCCACCACTAATTACCTCAAAAAAGTTCAACAGTGCATCCTTTGTTGTTCTCGTGTTTAATCCATTGACCAAAAACACATCTGTATCAAACGCTTCAGATTTAGATGACAACTGATGTGGCAATGAACTGTCATCAGGGTCTCTCGGAATAAAGTGGCTTTCTGAAAAACTTTTGTCGTGTCTGGCTCTTCCGTCGATGAACAGTTCTCTTGTCAGATTTCCATTTCGTCCATCAGAGACGTGCCAAGATGGCTTGGTTAATGAAGCTGATGAATGCGCATTGTTCTCAACATTGTAGCCCGAATAGTTGCTGGAATTTCTTGAATGCGATGTGTTAGCTTCATACCGTTTGATATCGTGGCTACGAGCTAATTCACCATCATCATCATCTAAGTAGTCGTCCACCTCATCATAATTATCGCTATCTTCATCGTCATATTCTTCTTCTTTTTCGTCTTCTTCCTCTTCCACGTCCTTTTCCTCCTCCTCGTCTTCTTCCTCCTCCTCGTCTTCCTCCTCCTCGTCTTCTTCATCTTCCTCGTCTTCTTCCTCTCCCTCGCCTTCTACCTTTTCTCCTTCGCTATCTTTATCCTCCACATCATCTTCTTCAATATAGTTTACGCCAACAAAGTCATGATCATCAAAACCATAGTCTTTCCCTCCTCCTTTTTCTTTCAATTCTTCGTCCACTTCTCCCTCATAATTATCGCTATCTTCACCGTCATATTCTTCCTCTTTTTCGTTTTCTTCCTCTTCCTCGTCTTCTTCCTCCTCCTCGTTTTCATCTTCTTTGTCTTCTCCTTCGTTATTTTCCTCAATCTCCATATCATCTTCCACGATATAATTTACGCCAGTATAATCATAATCATCAACGCCATAGTCTTTCCCTCTCTTCTTTTCCTGTGCATGCTCCATATCATTTGCATTATCATTGCCATCATCACCACAACCATCATCATCCTGCTGATCTTCTTTCTCTGTTTTCTTCGCCTTTTCCCCGGCTGTTCCCTCTTCTCGAAGCTCTTCATCGACGAAGCTGTCTCGTTGTGGTGTGCAGCTGTTAAACCAACAGCATTCCTCCTCCTCATCGTCCTCATCTCCTTCCCCTTCTTCTTCGTCGTCTTCGTTTTCCGGCTGTATTTTAGCAGTCTTCGAGTTATGTTTTGCATGGTCTTCAAAATAGAAGTCAGCATACGCGTCGTTATCGTCTTCTCCCTCCTGTATTTCACCAGTCTTCGAATTACGTTTTGTATAGTCTTCATAGCAAAAGTCAGCATAAGCATCGTCATCGACGTTGTCCTCTTGTATTTCATCAGTTTTCGAGCTTTGTTTTGCATAGTCTTCAAAGCAGAAGTCTGCATACGCGTTGTCGCTTTGATTTGCATCCTTCTTTCCTTCTTCTAAATAGTAGCAAACATCGCCACTCCCATAACAATCACCCTGCTCTAGAGCTGGGTGAACATTTCGCACATTTTCAAGATCAACCTTAACATTTAGTCCTCTGCTGCTCTGGCTGCCTTTGAATTTGCCACAAATATCTTCTTCAAGAACACTATTGTGGCCACCGCAACCATCAGATTCAAAATTGGTACAATCATATTTCCCACTACGTCCAGCGCTTCCTCTAAAATCAGTAACTGCAATGCTTTCTGTTCCAGTTTCACCTCTGGTGTGAGATTCTCCCCCACGGTGGCTGCTGCTACCACTGCTGCTTTTTGGACTGCTGTTAACATCCTTATCAAAAGCATGTCCAATGATACTAGTACCTAAACCAGTAATGACAAAGTCATCGTTGAAATCACTACTTCCAATGGTATTATTGTCAGTGACAAGTGTAACATGTCCATTGCTACCGTGGTCTTTCTCAGGACTACCAATATGTGCGAACGAGTCGATATGAACACTTTCTTTCAAAGTAAATGAAACAGCATCGACATCCTTTTTATCGTCAGTAGTTTCAAGGCTGGCATGGACGTTGTTAGTCTGATAACTATTATTCTGAACAGTATCAATTTTTCCGATGCTGTCACCATTACTGTCAGCGCACTTTGGTACTGCTCTCAAATCAGCATTTTCAATGTTTCTTTTATCACAAGTATCAGCGGCAAAGACAGGATTGCTACGGGTGAGTTTCATGTTCACTTTCACACTTTCACCATTTGTTTCATTAAATTCAATGCTGTTCTGGAAAATTTCACCAAGCTGGCATGCTTCCTCACTGCCAACATTGTTAAAGTTTCCCGTGGAACAAACAACATGCCCACTCCTGTCGATATCATCAGTGGGTGTCATCATACGAACATCAGCAACGCCAACAAGACTTCTTCTATCACTATGTCCATTGCTGCCAGTTTTGGCAACACTAAGAAGTCCACTGCTTGGGCTATCTCCTTCAACAGAGCTTCCGTCAGTTCTGTGAGCATCGATTGAGACTGAGTCAAAATATAAAATATCTGCGCTTTCTCTTTTTTCAATGGGAGCAGGTTCGATAACGTCGTCCTTTCTGACGATTGGTTTAGCATAATTATCTGGTATATTCTTCGTCGCAGCATCAGAGACATCTTTTTCATGGGATGATGCCAAAAGAACGGGTGATTTCGTGAGTGCCTGAAGTACTTTTTCAGGGGCAACGTCAAAAGAAAGGGTAATTTCCTGAGTGCCAGGAACACCGTCACATGAGGTAGTCCTCACGACCTCCGCGGAGTTTGCTTGAGCTTCGAATTCTTGTCCAGGCTCAACAACATCTGTAACGTTCTTTCTACGAGCAAATGATTCCACCTGAGTGTTCTTTTGGGGTAAGGAACAGTTACCCTTTTTCTGCTGGACATTTTTATCTACAAACAAATGGCAATCAGCTAAAACAGGTAGTGTACATCAATAAGGTTAAAAACAAGGTTAAAAACTGTGTCCAATAATTGTTCGCAATCATTTCTTTCTTAATTCTGTGCGGTGATAATTCCTGCCACCATCCTTCTGCCTTAATTGGGTAACTGTGCCATAGCCTACACCTCCACCACTATCTGATGTTACTATCCTTTTTAATTTTTGTTTGACATATGGAAGGATATTGTCGACGCGTACCGCTTCACTCTTTCTCTCGCTTTCTCTCTCTTTCTCTCTCTCTCTCGCTCGTTCTCTCTCCAGATTCATGGCTGAGTCTCCGCTACCTTTTCTCCTCTTCTATTTTTGATTTAAAAATTTCCAATATTTTCCCGTTTTTACAGCGAAATATCTTATTCTATTTTTCACTTATAATACATCTATTCAAAGTTACTGACCAATACGAAATCTTCAGACAGTATATCAATCTAAACACGACCAAGGTAGCAAATAATCAATCTTTGGTACATCCTCAAAAAAATCACTAAAATAAAAAATTGACGGACTTTAAAGGTCCTCTAGGTCTTTTTTATCGCCGTAAAACCCCTCTGGGATCTGGAATATTTTACTTTCCACACCATCTTAACATTAGAACAAAACCGCGTTCCCACATATAGTATCAACTCGACTTAACAAGTCAAGATTTTTTGAGAAGTTCAATAATCTTTTTTCTTTATAAAATCATTATACTTTACATTAAGTGCGTTTTTTTGGTCAGAAAGTGCGCGTATGAAAGACATGTTAAACCCGTTTTTTCAATTATATGTCGCAATTAAACGATTTTATTGCACAAAAGTCACTGCGTAGCAAATACCTATTTGAAGTAGCAAATATCCACTTTCTGTCGCAAATGCCCATTTCTACTTCTTTTGCTCAGGTAACATTTTCTTTGGAGTAAAATATTAAGTTTTACGGAGCAATTTGCGTATTGCTCAAGAACAATCTACCCCTTTGTATTTTTCAAAGTAAACTATAACACGCTTTACTGACAAATAGAGCGCACACGCGCATTTTTGTAAGGAATATTTTCATTTCCAAACTGCTGAAATATTAAGCAATTAAAAGTGTTGTGGAAAGGATTTTTTTATGTTTATGTAAGTTAAATCATAATAGCATCTTAATCTTATAAACGTGTTACTTTACATAGGTAGTGATTTGGACGACTACGAGCGCTTTGTGGCGTGAAAAATTTCCTTCAAGTGTTACTTTAGGTAGCGTAACTTCTATCAGCATTCAATCCTTATTCAAACCTGAAAGGGACAAAAATTTTTCCAGTGTACCCCTTGTTCTGCTTTTACTGCATTTATAACTCTGTTGGAATGTGAACCTAATTTTTTTTCTAGTGTAGGCCTATTTCAGCTTTAAATACGTGCATGATTCTGTTATAATGTTAACTCATATTTGTTAATTTGCGCAAATCTTTGTTGCAATGTAAGCTTAGTTTTGATTCGTGTTTAAACTTAGTTCAGTTTTAAATGCCGGCACAACTCTATTCATAGTTGTATTTCTGATAAACGCCTTGTTCTGTTCTGTATGCATGAAAATAACTTACCTACATTGTGACTTTAGCCTATTTCCAGTGTATGTGTGATATAGCTTTAAATTGGCTCATAAGACAGTTACAATGTGAGCTTGGTATTCTTTCTAGTTTACGCTTAGCTTAATTGAGTTTTAAGCGGTACGCATACCTTTGTTACAATATGAGTTTACTTTTGTCTCCATTGTGTAGTTATGATCAGTTTTTAATGCATGCATAACTCTGTTACAGTGTGAGCCAGTTTTTGTATCCAGCATGTGCCTAGTTTAGTTTAAAATACACACATAACTCTCAAATAATGCAAGCTTAGTTTTAATTCCAGTGTGCGCTAACTGTAGTGTTAATTGCACACATTACGAAGATACGGCGAGATCTAAGTCTTTCTGGTATACGCCTTGTTCAGTTTCAAAGGTAGGCATTACTCTGTTACAATGTGAACTTAGTATTGTTTCTAATATACTCTTGATTGAGTTTTAAATGCGTGCAAAACTTAGCTACGACGTACAACATGGGCGCAGTTTTGTTTACTGTGTCAACCAAGTTCAGTTTTAGTTGCTTGTATAAATCATATATTACAATGTGAGTTTAGTTTTGTTTCTAGTGTGTGTCAAGTTAAGTTTTAAATAAGCTTACAACTCAGTTACAATGCGAGCTTAGTTTTGTGTGTGCATAACCTAGTTTTAATGTCATATGAGCTTAGTTAGTTCTGTTTGCTGTCCATGCCTAGTTCAGTTTTAAATGCGAGTATAGCTCAGTTAGAATATGAGCTTAATTTTGTATGCAGTGTACTCCTAGTTCAGTTTTAAAATCGTGCATAAGTCAGTTCCAATGCAGGCTTAGTTTCAGGCTTTAGCCCAGTTTCCAACACACCTAGTTTCAGATGGGCACGTATAATTCACGAGTTCTTTTTCCTGTATGACTGCAACACTTGAAAATAACGTACTGCTTGATTCATAATTGCTTGTTTTTCGCCTGATGCTCAATTTATTCACTCTTTACATTTCGTTTTGGTCTTTATTTGCTACGTAGTATACTTTAGATAGCATTTTGCAAGTGCAAAGAAACAGGGCCACAGATAGTCGTATCTAACGAGTTTGTTTCTTCTAAGATACATTAAGCAATAAAGTATTAAGAAAAGATGGACGTAGGAAGCTTATATTTTAGGGCTGATTTTACAGGCTGATAGTAATAGAAGCGTCCCTTTTTCAAATGATAAACATCACCCATTCCCTTAATTATACCGACAAACGAACGCAGTCTTCAACCAACATGGGTATTGGGCACTTATCTTCTTAGGTAAGGGTATTCCCAAGCTGGGCAAGGGGGCCACAACAACAACAACAGGGCTACAACAACAACAACACCAGTAACAACATATTTTTACTTCACGTCAGTCATGCAAACTGATATATCATTTTGATTAAACACAATCGATTTTTGAAAATAGATTCAAGTTGAAATCTAAGAATAGATTTGAGATTATCTCAAGAAAACATTTCAGTCCTTTAACTCTAAGTCAAATATTATAACATGTAATCACTATACTTCTTATCCCTTTCACTTAAAGTGTTTCCCGTTTTTTGTGAACTTCTACTTCCTTTGCCATTGTGAAAAGATGATTTCTTAATATAATCGATAGGATATTGCAACTATACATATATAGAGGAGAACGACTAAATCAATCATTTTACTAAAAACCCACTAGAAGTTCAAACGTTAATAAGAACAACAATATCTAGATCTTCTTAAAAAAACAACTTCAAAAACCGTCGAGCGCCATTTAGTTGAAATAGAAGCGTAGTCATATCCAGAATTCAGTAAAAACCGAAATATACCTTAAACTTATACCTGACTTTCTGTATGTTAACCACATATGTCATCCACCTCGTAGTAATTTTTTTCTTATAACGCTAAAAATAAGAATCCATAAATTAAAGTAAAACTACTTTTCCTACGAAAAAACGTTATTTTAGTTTTGGCGTCAAATGTACAGTACAGCCCACTGCACAGTAACATTTAACAGTTTTCAACAGTTCAGTGTACTGTTGTTCAGTACACTGCAGCCCATTGCATAGTAAGATTTAGCTGTTCCAACAGTTCAGTGTACTGTTGTTCAGTACACTGCAGCCCATTGCATAGTAAGATTTAGCTGTTCCAACAGTTCAGTGTACTGTTGTTCAGTACACTGCAGCCCATTGCATAGTAAGATTTAGCTGTTCCAACAGTTCAGTGTACTGTTGTTCAGTACACTGCAGCCCATTGCATAGTAAGATTTAGCTGTTCCAACAGTTCAGTGTACTGTTGTTCAGTACACTGCAGCCCATTGCATAGTAAGATTTAGCTGTTCCAACAGTTCAGTGTACTGTTGTTCAGTACACTGCAGCCCATTGCATAGTAAGATTTAGCTGTTCCAACAGTTCAGTGTACTGTTGTTCAGTACACTGCAGCCCATTGCATAGTAAGATTTAGCTGTTCCAACAGTTCAGTGTAAAAAAAATGAGTACAATGCAAAAGACTGCATAGTAACATTTAATCTTACTATGCAGTAAAAAAAACTGTACCGAACAACACTACAGTGAATTGTACAGTGTGGCGCCCTGTATAAAAAAAATTAAGAGTTTTTTCCCAGTTCAGTGTTGTTACTTAGTTCAGATGTTCTGCAAAAAAAGTTAGTACAGTACAGTGCACTGCCGAGTAATGTTTGATAGTTCTGAATAGTTCAGCTTACAATGCGTTGCACTGTTTAGAATACATTTAAGAATTTTTTTAGTTGCAACGCAACCTGTGTAAGTCTTCGTTATTGAGAAATTATTCGTTTATCTCTATTGCGATTTCTCCGTTATGACCGTCACGTTTAAGATTTCTTGCTTACTGTTTTACTTTAACCATCTACCACCTTTGCGCTTTGACGTGACAATGCGGACGGTTTATTATGGCACGAACTAATTTTGTACGATTCTCATTATTTTGCTCATCGAACTGTATCAGAAAACTCGCTCGTTCTTTTCGCATCTTCATTCGTTTTCTAAGGCTCGGGCTAAACGTTCCAACATTGTTATAGCAGATTTGTTGATTCAACAATGTTAGAGCATTTGGCATACATGCTTGTCCGACATTTTTTGTAGGACTAATGTTTGAGAACTTATGAAACGTTCGTCCAACAAAAATCGGTTGAACAAACATGGATGCCTAACGCCCCAACAATGTCAGATCAACAAATGTTATCTAAGAAAGTTGGAACGTTTAACCCCGGCTTGATACTTCTCCACTCGTGCGAAACCATCTAACGCACGCCTTTTCCAAGGATTAACCTCTAGTTGACATTCTTTAACAGTGCAGAGTATTGCTGTGTAGTGGAGTGCATTTCAGAGCAAAATAAGACTCTGAGTCACAGCTTTGAAATGCGCACGTTCAACCTTTTGATTAAACTGTCATGTTTCTAGTAGCTTCTTGTTAAATAAAAAAATTACAACCGAAAAGGATATAACACTCTCAGAGGAACTAAAAAGTAGACCGAAAAAAATTGACATGGACACAGGGGCACCCAGAAAAGGAAAAAGTATATATTTAAAAAAAAAAAACGATAAAACGATGTAGATGTGTGTTTTTCAGGTATTGAGAGGTTTGGTAAAAAAAAAAATTTAGTGTGAGTATTTGCTACCGTCGCAAATACTCAACTACCTACTGAAAAAAACAACAACAAACATATGAAACATATGTATGAACTGCGGTTATGAGACGTATAAAAAAACGATCCTTCGCAGTAAAGCACTATTTGAGCAATAGTGAAAATCAGACCTGAAAAAAATTTCAGGCCTGTACGGGCCTGAAATTGGCTTGACATTGGCTTGTTAGCTCAATTGGTAGAGCGCTGCACTAGTATCGCAGAGGTCAGTGGTTCTGGGATATGGAATATTTTACTTTCTACACCATCTTAATTTTAGAACAAAACTGCGTTCCCACATATAGTATCAACTCGACTTAACAAGTCAGATTATTTTGAGAACGTCAATTATCTTTTTTCTTTAGAAAATCATTATATTTTACTTTATATTGGTTTTTTCGGTAGGAAAGTTCTGCGCTTGTGAAAGAAAACATGTTAAACCTGTTTTT